AATCTGTAATCTGAACAAGTCTCATATTAAGTTGTAGTTTAGATGATATTCATTTATATCATGAAAGGTGGTTTGTTCTGTTATTTTAATGATATATTAGATATTGTACATTTTATTCATCTATTTTTTCTGCATTTTATTAAATTTTCACATCCTGAACTCTTCACTCATACAGACATGTTCAGTATTGAAGGTACAAAAATAGACAAGTGCTGTGCTCTTGAATATCTTTACTTGTAAAAAAAAGTTTACCATCTTAATTCAATTTCACTGCCTATGTTAGGAAATAGTCAAATTTCATATCACTGTGACCTTGCCAACACTTTAAAAAGATACAATTGTTCTTTTCACAACTTTCAACCAAATTGCTTGTTCCCATTCTCAACCCTCCATTCTATGGGTTGCCATGGATTTCTGAAACAAAGAGATCCAGAGAAAAAATAAAAAGGAACCCAGTGAATTGAAGCTTAAAAAGTCTATTTGGCCAATATAAACATGAGTTGTGGTACCAATTTACTTATGGAAGGTGATCTGCTCTATAGTACATGCTTTGAAGTCATGTCTACTACCAAACATCTTGCTATCTCTACCTCATCTAATAAGTAGTATTTTCTTGTTTTTGTTTGCAAGAAAAATAATCTGATATTTTTTGTTCTACACCATATTTATAATCTCCACCCTGTTCCTGCAAGTGTTTGGGCTACTCCTTTTAATGGTCACATTAGCATTGTAATTCATGTTCCCTTATAACTCACCTTGAAATATATGTGCCTGTATTATATAAGAAAAACATGAAAGGATAGCAAACCCAACTAGACAGAGAAATGTGTTAAAAGCATTGGCAGGTAATGTGTTAAGACAATATTTTGCTCTGACATTGAAACATCATAAAGACAAAGTTAGAGTTAAAAATGGCAGTTTAGAGCTCTGGCTGGCATGACTCAGTGGATTGAGTGCTGGCTTGTGAACCAAAGTGTCACCAGTGCGATTCCCAGTCAGGGCACATGCCTGGGTTGCAGGTCAGGTTCCCAGTAGAGGGCCCGTGAGAGGCAAAACACTGATGTCTCCTTCCCTCTCCTTCCCTTCCCTTCTCTCTAAAAATAAATAAATAAAATCTTTAAAAAATGAATAAAACTTAAAAATGCCAATTAAAAAAAGCAAAGGAATGAAATTGTAATGCTTTATGTCAGCTTTGCAAGCATGAATAAAGGATTGAAGGCTTTTGTTTAAAAAACTTGGCAACTATTCATCGATCATAAAAGTTTAAGAATGTGCCTTATTGTAAATGATATTTTAAAATGATTTCTTTTTCTGCCATAAAATGTCTGTGACATTTTTATGTCTGAGACGACTTACATTTTGTCTAAACTTAACTAAGTTGTGAATTCCTAAAATAGCTGTGAACAATGCAATGGGTCTTATCTTCCAGATTAATAAAACATTTACATTGTTTTAGAGCTGCTGCCAGTGGTTAAATTTGGAAAATTCTGCCTTAATAATTAGCAACACTGTGAAAATCACTACTAAAGATCTGATTAACTTTTTAATTTGCTTGTATCTAGATATTACTAGTCCATCCAGAAAATGGAAGTCCTTCTGACATAATAGGTCATATGACATAGCACAGTATCTTTATTCGTAAATATTTTCCGGTTTAATTTCTGCACAACTGGCCAAAATCCTTTATACAGTTCTTTAGTTTGACCTTTAAGGAAATATGCTCAGTATAGCAAAACTGGCTCCCAATAAAGAAGTAATAACGGTTCCTATTATTTGATGAATCTAACAATGATTTTATATTACTTACTGTATGGTATGTCATAATATATTTTCAAATACATTATGCTATTTAATGTTTGCAAAATTCTTTGAGAGAGACAAAACAGAAGTTTACTATTGCTAAAGATAAAAAAACTGAGTCTTAGAGTTTTAGTATAATGTCTATGGTCAGAGTGATGTTAGGCCTCAAACTGTCATATTTTTACGCAGTTTAAAAGGCAAAATTAATCCTTGTATCTTGTCTTCGGCGAATCATGCTCTGCTTTCTAACATTTGCAATAAATATGCAGGCTTTAAAATATAGTGTCACTATTTAAGCTCAGTGCTTTTTATGGGCTTCCCACTTTAAACTTCACCTGAGCCTACTTTCCCTGAAAGGGTCTAATGCAACGAGCATTTGCTGTGTTCTCTGTGTACCAGAAACTGTGCTGGCATAGTGATTCATGCTCTCTTTCAAATGATAAGCAGGTTATATCACTATCACCTAGGAGACTGGGGAAAAAACAATAATTCCAGACTTCACTGTGGAATAGGCAATTAGAATTCAATGTTAGAGAATGTGGGTATGTGTGGGAAGAATTTCAAACAAACTGAACAGAGCTAAAGTTACCAAACTAAAATAAATTTAAAAATTAAAAATTAAATTTAAAAAGAGAGCTAAGATTTCGAACACTATGGAAGGGCAAAATAGATTTGGATTTTGAACACAGGATCACCACTGTGATTTAGGAGTGAATGTGGGGGGTGGGGGGGAGGTTGTGATTAAATAACCGCATGGCACACTTTCTTTATTTTTGATGTCAGAATCATTCTACATGTAATAAACTATGGAACAGGTAACTTTCTTTTTTAAAAGGTTAAATAAATGTTGGTAGTATATAGTAATAACGTAATAATCTCAAGTACTCTTAAGAACTTTGAGAACAGAAAACACTTATATGAATTTTCTAGCCTGTGGATGTTATCAAAAATATTAAAGCACAGGTCACATGTATCTGAAAGATATATTCATGACTAGTATGTGCTGAAGTGCAAAAAATAAAAGTAAAAATACTGAAAATGTATATTTATTATATTTATATAATAAAATACATGATTTTTAATTTATTCCAAGCTATAATGTAGAAATTATTAAGCAAAGAAATATAAAAACAAAAAGTGAGAATAACAATTTTTGTTTTCAACAGAAAAATGGACATGGATGAAAATATAACCAAAATGTCTTTAACAGTAATTAATCAATATCATCAATAGCTGGCTTTGCAAAATGTTTGTAACAGTCATTGCAGACAATATCACTATGCTCAAGGAATAAACACTTTTCACAACACTTGCAAAAATATTTTGATAAGCAACTCAGTAGCATTAGCTGAATGTCTACAACATCTCTTGAATTATTGAATTGATATATTTTTCCAGCCATTTTCAATGGTAAATGAAAAAAACACACACACAAACTTTGAAGTTTGCGAAAGAAAACAACTACACTAACACTGACTTCAGAGTTTGTGGTATATCTCAGATATAATTTACTATTAAATATAACACAACCTTATTAATCACATGTTATAACAAAACTGACAGCTTAAATGTTATAGCTTAACATTAGTCATGTACAAATGCATGGCTAGTCATGACCTTGAACCTATGCACCCAACATATGTAACAATATTTAAGAAAAGAGTTTGTATATCTCAGACCAGCCACAACCTCAGCAGGGCTAGGACTAACAAGGAAATATCACAGACTGGCTATTTTAAACAACATAACTGTATTTTCTCATAGTTTTGGAGGTTAGAAATCCAAGATCAAGTTGTCAACAAGTTTGGTTTCTTAGTTTGCAGATGATTGCCCTTTTGCTCTCTCTTCAGTCTTTTCTTTGTGCATGCGTGCCCTTGGGGGCACTACCTGTGGCCTAATCAGATTGGATTAGGGCCCACCCTAAGGGACACATTTCAATTTAAAAACGTCGTCTCCAAATATAATCCCATTCTAAGGTAAAGGACATTAGAGTTTCCACACATGAATTTTGGGAGACATAATGCAGTCCATAACAGCATTCCATAAATTTTAGTTGTCCAAAGTTTCACCCTGTTTCCTACTTCTTCCTCCTTTACTTAACTCACTGGTCCCAAATGACTGCTGTATCTGCTCAGTTCCATTTACCCCCAGAAGTTGTTTTCCTTTACGAGTATGGTAACCTAAGAACTTGTTTGTGTATTAGTGCTCCTAGGTAACACATTTGCGTAAATACGAAGGCAAAAGAGTTGGATTGACGTCTTTATGTGAGATTGAATAGGGTGAAGATACCTGGTTTGTCATCCAACTAAAAATGGAAATCTTTTCAGAGAGTTAAATGTTCTGATGCTCTTCAAAACTATCACATGGATCATTCACTGTGTGATTAAACTAAGGTTTGGGTGTAGATAATCTGTATGATTTTATTTTATTTTATTTTTTTACCTATTCTATGTTTGGCAAATAAAATAGTAAATACCACTGGACAATTTAAAATTTTATGATCTTTTCCTTACGGAATGTCCTTCTTTACTTTTTAATTTTCAAATTTTTCAAACTTATGCGTCTCTGCTTTCTTTTCCTGCTGTCAGTTTTAGTGATGAAAAAGAGTTTTCTTCACTGTTTAAATTCTTCTCAGTGCAAATTCCACTACCACCACATCAACAATAGCAACAAACATTTAGGCAACATGAATGTAGTTTTTCTATTTGAGTCTGACATTGTTTAGGGCTGTACATTTCTCGCTAAATTATTATTGTTGAGATTCCACAACTGATTTTGCCCTCTATCAGGATCATTAGCCCTTATATGCCATTTGCAAGACATTCCTAAAATACTCTCTGGAAGAAACATAATGAAGTAGGAGCTTTAATATAAACTTGATGATCATTCTATAGAAAGGACAATGGAAAATGCTTGTATTTTTCCTCATTTATTTCATTTGGAAAAATGAGTTAAATTAATCTCTCATACACAGTTTTAAATTTAGTTTTACATTTTCGTTTTATTCAGAGAAATTTTCATTTAAAATTTTCAAAGGAAAAATGGAATTTAATGTTTAAGTTATCAACAATCATTAATATAACTATTAATAGCCACCATACCTCTTTTCCATAATTTTTGTTAAATAATTAGGGTGAAAGCTAAAATTTCTTCCAAAGTTTCAATTGATCTTGTTTGGGTCCCATGTGTTGGTGTTGCAGGGATGAAGAACCAGGAAGCCAGCAGGTTACAGATAAGTTCCATATTGACTGGGATTCAGTACTTGTTGACACAGATAACATCATCATTGCACGATTTGATGGCAGAGGAAGTGGATTCCAGGGCCTGAAAATTTTGCAGGAGATCCATCGAAGGTTAGGTTCAGTGGAAGTGAAGGACCAAATAGCAGCTGTGAAGTAAGTGGCTGCACATATTTTTATTTTTTCCTATAAAGACAAAAGCTAAGTATATGATATATAATATCACTGAGGCTGACTCAGAGATTTGTATTTTAGTGATAAGACAGTATTGTATATTTTCAAGTACCTTTCTCTATTAGCACCATAATAAAAGAATTATCATAGTTCTATGGAATTAGAATTCACTTTGGATTTATGAAAATAAAATATATCTTTATTATACCACTATATTATTTATTTAATGTAATCCACAATGTCTATTATTCCCCTAGTTAATTAACAATTTCTGAGCTTTCACAGTTACCATCACTACACTAGCATAAAAATGTGGCCTGAGAAATCTAGCAGGTTCTTTGAAATGGTATGTAGAAATTGGCAGGAATATTACTAAAATGTAGACATTCATTCAGTGGATCTGAAATGAGACCCAGGAATACGCATTTGCTAACAAGTTGCCAGGTGGCATCTAACCTATTGGACCATCACTCAACTAGCCAGATTTTGAAATACCTGACACTAATATATGAATAGAGCTGCAACCACAAAAGTATTTCTGGTTTGCCTTGCATTGTGCTCACCAAGAAGGAATTCCCATGTGTGTTTAACTCAAGAAGATATAACTGTAGTTTTTTTTTCTTTTTCATTGCAGATTTTTACTGAAGCTGCCATACATTGACTCCAAAAGATTAAGCATTTTTGGAAAGGTAAATAGTAGAAATATTCTGTTTGTGTTTACTTTCCTCATCTTACTATAATTTATCTGCTTTAAAATGTATGCATTCAATAATTTACTAATTCAACAACTATTTATTGAGCATCTAATTAGTGCCTGCTGTTAGAATAACAGGGCAAAAGGGGCTCTCTTTTCATGAAGCTTACCTTCTAGAGGAGAAAGTGATGGCAAACAAATAAATGAGAAATTGTTTCATATGGTAGAGTGTTATAAAAAACAAAAATAAGCCAATGGATAAAAGTTAACTGCAGGAAAGGCCAATGCCATTAGATTTAGTGGGCCCTCTGATTAAGTGATATTTAAACTGAGATATAAGTAATCAGAGGGAGCCAGTCACAAAAATCACTTAAGGCACAGCAAGAGGAGCAAATCTGTCAGGAAGACTAACATGGCTTAGCAACCAAAAGATGGCCACATGCATAGTTATGTCCTTTGTGTTTTCTGCACAGTATTTAATTTTGTTGTAATATTTTTTATTTTATGTTCAACACCATTTTAGGGTAATAAAATCAACCTCATGTAGATATTTATTAAACAGTTTATACCTATCACTATGCTAGACACTATAAGGATAGAGAGATGAATGGAAGAATATCTTGCACTATTTTAGATGAAGCAAAGTCTTGGTGCTTATAGATTTAAATATGAAATATTTTCTACTATTCCTAAGTGAACTGAGAGACATATGAGGACATAACTGGTCATTTTTTCTGGGGCATACATTTTGGTAGTGTACATTGACAATAGGTACATAAAAGATACTTAACAAGTGTAAATCAGCACCATTCACTCCCATTATTCCCTAATTAACTTAAATATCTGCAGTGCACCGCTGTTTCTTGTATTTAATTCTGGCTATCAGTAATGTTCAAGCTATCAACAAAATATTTGTGAACAATGTTACCCCAACATAAATGCAAGTAAATAAATAAATGAAAGACCACCATTAATGGTAAGAATATTAGGGGGAAAAACACAAATATATCTAAGAAAGTGATTATTTCAAAGAAATGGAACTCCAGAGACTTTTAATTGTTCCTGTAGTGAAACTTTGTCCTGTGCTCCAGCATGGAAGACCTTTGAAGAGATTGTGCAATTGTACTGAGTGAAATGAGCCAGGAGCGGAGGGACAGATACTGTGTGGTTCCCCTTATGTGAGGTACTAGAGTAGTCAAGTTAATGGGGATGGAGAGTAAAGTCATGGTTGCCAGGACCTGGGCAGCTGGGTGGGAGAAAAGAAGAGTGGTATTTAATGGGCTTAGAATTTCAGATTCACAAGATAAAAATGTTCCTGGACACCAGTTTTTTTTTAAATATTTTATTTATTTTCAGCGAGAGGGGAAGGGAAGGAAAGATGGGAGAGAAATATCAATGTGTGGTTGCCTCTCGTGTGTCCCCCACTGGGAAATGGCCTGCAATCCAGGCATGTGCCCTGACGGGGAATCGAACCACGATCCTTTGCTTCACAGGCCCGCACTCAATCCACTGAGCTACACCAGCCAGGCTGGACATCAGTTTTATAGCAACGTGAATACACTTGATGTTGCTGAACTATTCATTTAAAAGTAATTAAGATAACAATGTGGTGATTGCTGGGTGCAGGAGATATAAGGGGACTAAATGGTAATTTAAAAAAATACAATTAAGATTAAATAAAAATAAAAGTGGTTAAAATAGTAAATTTTATGCTATGCTATTTTTTACCATATCCTTGTAAAAGAGCACATAGTGGAGAACATTTCAGTACTTAATGGTCCTGATATATGTAATAAGTTACAAAGGACTTGAGGCTTATGTATTTCAGCACTGTACTTACTATACACATAACAGGCACAAAGGACCAAATGACTAGTACAAACACTTACTACTATGGAAATTTAGAACAAGTTCAGAAGGTTGTAAACAACCTCATGGAGAAAGCGAAACATGAACTGGACAGTAAAAATTATTCAGCAACTAGAGGGCAAGGAGAACAGTCTCATGTAGATGCTCATTTCAGGAAAGAGAGCATGTTTGGAAAACCCTGAAAGAAATTGATTATAATTTATAGTCAACTATAATTCCTGTGAAAGATGGGCAAATATTAGCACTAGGGCCAGAAATTTACCATATTTGATCAACTTCTTCTTTGATATTCAGCAATACTTGACTGATATACCATTTCTCGTTTTTTTCTTTTTGATCTAAAGTGTATTTTAATGGTCTATTTATCTACATCTTTACCTACATCTACTACATCTGCATCTGCATCTTCATCTCTATCTACATCTATATGTACATCTGCATCTACATCGAACTAGCTAACTCCTTCCAGTATAATTGATTTTTCCAGTAGAAACTAAACATTCTGCAGTACATTTCACTGTTGATCTTCATAATGCTAAAACAGTGATCTGCAAGAAACTGGTCGATATTTTTTGTTTTGCATATAATTTGTTCTACTTCAATCTTTCAGAGTTGGAAAGCAGTTCTAATCTATGCTCTTCAACCATGAAAACTGACTAAAAAAATAGAATGATAGTTTTTCTAAGAATGCTTTTAGTGTGAAATAATATATATAATAATATGTATATTTTTAGAAAATACTCTTTCTGACTTTTCTTGTTATAATGGTAAGCATATAAACACCAGGAAAGCAATGATTAATAAACACATTGCATTCTAAAACTATCACATGGGTATTAGAGGAAAAGAGAAAATAAAAACTTCAGCCAGCATAGGAAACTTTTGACTTTTTATATTCAATTTCATTTCAATATTTTATAAGTGTTCTACAGGTAAGCAACATTTTATACAAATAAAATAAAGTTGTTAAAATTATATAAATAATGCAAAAAATGCTTTGCAAATGGAATCGGCATAATAATTGTAATGAATGAGAAACTATGATCATTGAACAACCAATATAAATACAGCACAGTTGAAACAGAGCAGCCTATAGTATTGATTATTTTTTATTTAAATGAAATCAGAAACATCCTTTAACTCAAGGGCTCCCAACCTTTAGGCCACGGACTTGTGAGGATCCATGGCCTGTTATGAAGGGAGCCACAGAACAGGAGGTGAGCTTGTATATAATGTGATTGAATCATCCTGAAAACACTCCTACCCCCAGTCCATGGAAAAATTGTCTCCTATGAAACTGGGCGCTGGTGTCAAAAAGACTGGAGACCACTAACTGACTATAGAATCAATAAATGTGATGACCACCAGTTCTGGCATCTTTCTAATAGACCTGAAGTGTTTTCAGAATTAAAATCACTGTCTTTATACCGAGCCTACCCTCTTCTGGAATATATTTTTCAGAAACATTTTTATTATTCACTTTTGCATTCAGTGAATAAATATAAAATGGTAGTGAGAAAGGTGAGCAAAAATTTAATTTATTCTAATTAATAACAGTATTGATTTTTATTTTAAAATAGAAGCCATTTCCCTAAAGTAAATTAAAGCAACATTTTCAATTGGTTTTTAAATGGTACTGAGAGAATAATATTCAATAGCTTTCATTATTATTGTTTTAAAGAGTATTTAGCTTCATTAATATCAACATTTCATATTTAAAAAATAGTAAAATTCAGCTCCATGTGTGGCAGCAATGATTTATAACCTACTTTCACTTTAGAATCACACAGAGAGCTCCACAGCCCATTTTCATAGACTGAATTGTTTTCCAGGGCATTGGTATGTTTTTAAAGGTCCACTGGTCTAGGGAATGCTCACTGAAGCTAGGAAGATGTTCTGGTTTGTTCTTTACTGTGTTATTATGCTATAAGAACTTGCTATTCAAACTGCAGGCCAGCAGCATAGGTATGCCCTGGGAGTTTCTTTAAAAAATGCCAAATTTGGGGGCCCAAACACCAGACCTACTAAATTAGAATATTCATTTTAACAAGATTCCCAAGTACCTTGAATGATGGACATTCGAGTTGAGACGCATTCTTCTAGGATCTGCTTCTCTTTCAGAAGGCACCATCTTTTTAGTCCTTGAGGTAATTAAACTCCAAGAATCATGTTAAACTGAGGGAAAAAACATAATATCGATTTATTAATTTATATTATTTATATATGTGATATACAGTTGTTCTGAGGGTTGGAATACTCAGCTATTCTCTCAAAACAGTCATATATATCATAAATAAATGATATATGATATATATTATATATATATTGTATATATGATATATAATTGGTTGAAGTTTGGGCATTTGTGGAATTAAAACTAGAAAAGTTATTACCTAAGTTGTAATAATCTAAAACACATTTCTCACAATGGGAATAGCATTACTCTGTGGGAAATACTTGAAACCACTTGAATGTGACACCTTTGTCTCATCTCTATTTTAGAGAAGTAGAGACAATACACTAAAAATCCTCACTCTAGGGGCAGAACTTTTAAGGGCTCAGCATGCTCTAACTCTATACCATTTATTCACTTGATTTGCATGACTCACCATGCCCCTTTCATACTTCTGAAGGGGACTAGAACATGCCACAACAGAATATGCCTCTTTGGCTGAAAGATTATTTTGAGCTGATTAATTTAAAAAACAGCAGACACTTTTACTCAGAGTTGAAGTCACTTCTTTTGAGACATTTACATTCATAAAGGAAGTCTCCATCTGTGTGTCTCTCTGTATCAGAAAGGGAAGTATGACTCTAAATTATAGGAAACTCTTAGTAATGGAGAAGGCACTGACTTCAGTGTGCATAAGAAGCCTTGTTTATGATTCTTTTCTGGGTAACCTTATGTAATAGATCTCCTTGTACATCTTTGTTTAGTTGAAGGTGGTATTTAAGGTGGTGTTGTGAACTTCCTCACAGAATTACTCAGTTTATCTGGTTATTTCTAATATGTACCTGAGGTTCGCATGTTAAAAACAGTTTGTTTTTTTCTTTTCTTTCTTTTTTTTTTTTTTGTCTATTACAAGGCATCTCAGCCAAGAACTCTGAAGGGTAGAAGGAAATTATTTTTCTCCCCTCCACTTTTTCTTTAGATGTGTTAGCACAATTAAGCCTATTACTTTTAAGTTTTGCTAATCAAAGGTTATTTTTGTCTCAATGAGACTGAGAAAAGAATCTCTTGGTGTCTTTATATAAATATTGTGCTATAAAAGATAAATTAATTTCATATATCTCCTAATTGTTGGGGAAGGTTTGCTCAAACTTCTGGGTACTAGCTGAATATTTCAGTACAGAATTGATATATGTAAGTTATAAAAATTAATGTTCCCTGTACTCTTCTAAGTTCATAGTGGAGAACTGCCTGTAGAAAAAAACAATTAAAAAGAGAAAAATGAAAACATGTTTATTGACATACATATCTCCTGTCTACAGGGGAGATATCCAGGAAAAAATGAGTAACTCTGTGAGGTGGCTTAGAATTCAGGCTTAAATTACCATCTTAATAGGGAAACAAGAGGATAGATGCAGGCCTTTTAGGAGAGATAAATGCTTGTTAGACAAGATGAATGGAACCTTAGCAGAATAAATAGAAGATGCAATTTGTGACAGTTTTTTTCTGGGTAGGTTGTTGACTTCTATTCCCAAGAGTCAGTCCTCCCTGGATTATGTAAATCCTGGGCAAGGGACCTATGACAATTGAGTGCCTATTAGAGGATCTGCCTTTAGTTCAGAGAAAGACTCTCCCAGAATTTGCTGTTTTTTTATGTACCTCTAGCTCAAAATAATCTATATGCCACAGCGTAATATTTTGGAGTGGAATGTTCTACCACTCTTTACATAAGTTCTCTGTCACTTTGATAATGTCTGACTGCATTTTGGACTTTTATGTACCAATATTTAAATGAAGCTCCAAATAAGAATATAAAATTATGTATTTATTATTACATGTGTTTGGTGAGAATAACATATTCCTATAGCAGTAAACCATACTAGATTCATCTGGAAATCTTTCAAGAGTAGACTCTATCATGCATCAATCACTTCAGAATTTCTGGTGCAAAAGCTTGGGTGTTAATATTTTTTAATACATCCTAGGATACTGTAATGTCCAGCAAGATAAAGAGAATTGTCTAGAACACAGTTTAAACTTCATTTTTAAAATGAATAGATAAATCAGTATGTCATTCCCTTAGCCTAGTATTACTGTAATTGTTAAAATCTCCAGTGGAATTTTTCTGGAAAGCTCCTGGGCTGCAAAAGAAAACTAAACATCTTGATTTATTTGTTAGGGATGTATAATTAAATTAACTCAAAATATTGCAAGAGGATATTTTTAAATTAAATTTAAACAATAACACAACTCATCTAACTAGCAACATTATTTACCACATCTCATTTCCTTCAAATATTTAATTATATGAAATTGACAGCAGAATATATATTTACGATGTTGGATTCAAAATATTTAATTCTTCTTTCTTAAATCTACATAACAGTTATTGATATTAAATGATTCTAAATATAATATCTGATTTTCCCAAAATGGTCTATGATTTAATAAGTACTGAGTTTAACTAGCTTAAAATTGTTTGGGGTGCTTTAGAGTTATTTGATATGAAACCAGAGAGCAGAGCTTTGACAGCTGGTGATTTTGTATTTTACCTAAAATTATTAAAATAACTCATTATATTAAAATGTAAACTCTTTTCAAAAATTTTATCTGTACAAAGTGACCCTTAGTATATAGTCTTTGTTTACATTTGGGACAGAAGATATTCTGATGTGCATGTTAGCAAACATAGTGATCAAAGCTAAAATTATCTCCAGGAATAATTGATACATGTATATCTTTTCAGGGGTATGGTGGCTATGTTGCATCGATGATTTTAAAATCAGATGAAAAGCTTTTTAAATGTGGATCAGTGATTGCACCCATCACAGACCTGAAGTTGTATGGTGAGTACTTCCTATAGAATGACCTAATATAACACACTGATTTGTAGAAAAAAAGTCCTAATGCCAAGAAGTTCGATTGTACTCACTTATGTGTTATCAGAGATTTTTTCAGCTGTTTTTCTCCTTTCTGATTCAATCAGTTTTACTGGAGCATGAAAGTTAAATGTGAAATGTAAAAATTAAATAATGAAATATGCTATTCCAGTGGTTTTCTGTTTATTCTTAAATTTCTGTTTTCTTGGGTCACAGCCTCAGCTTTCTCTGAAAGATACCTTGGCATGCCATCTAGAGAAGAAAGCATATACCAGGTAACTATTTGAAAACAATGAAGAAAGAAAAGTACTTTTGTTCTAAAATCTTAGTCAAAATGCAAAATTACATAGGTCTAAATACAAAGATTTTTCTGTTTTTTTTTAAATAGGCATCAAGTGTGCTACATAATATTCACGGCTTAAAAGAAGAAAATATATTAATAATTCATGGGACTGCCGACAGTAAGTATTATACTTGCTGCTAGTCATTGATGGTGTTTGAATTTGAGCAGAGGGGTACATCCAAGGACTTGCTTACAAGGGTTCCTATAAACCAACCGAAGAAGACAGCAGAGTTGCACAAAATCTGATTCATGATGGGAAGTGGGGAGAAGAAAGTCAGGACTAAGAATAAAGGATGTTATGAGCCTCGGTGGCAGCACTGAACAATCAACGTTCTACATAATAGAAATGTTTAATCTCTGCTGTTGAACACAGTAGCCACTGGCCACATATGGTTCATAAGCACTTAATCATTCTAAACACATGATTTTCTAAAAATCAAGAAAATGATTTTTAATTTTAATTAATTTAAATAATCACAGGAGGCTAGTGACTACAGCTATGTTGTTATTCAATATACTTCAGAAGGAAACTAAACTAGAAACAGCAAGATATCAAGAAGTTACCAGCACTGACAGGAAATTCTGAAGAGGCTACCCACTTAAAAAGTTAAAACAAAATCTTTCATATCAACTCTCATTTTTTTATCACATTAAATATTGGAGATGTATGTGACTGACATTACCAGCAATAAATAATATCATTTTATACTTACATAAAGTGTTCAGGGCTTAAAAATGTATATTTTATTCTGTGTAAAACTTTACAACAGAGGGCCAGCTATTTTACCATTCCACTCATAGATGAGAAAAAGCAATTTCAAGGAGGAAAATAATTTATTCAGGGTTACCTAGTAATTGAGCAAAAATAGTCAAAGCCTTGAGTCAATTTTCTCAATCTTGAACTTGTTTTTGTTAGTTCACTTTGTTCTGCCTCACTATTTTTACTCTATTTTACAAAGTATATAACCAAAAAGATGTTATAGCAAAGATCATAACAGGTCTAGAGTTTAACTTTCAAGCATGTCAGGCCAATGTTAAATCAGTATTCAGTTCAGTATGTAAGACATTTACATAGATGTATATATATATATATATATATATATATATATACATTGTTATTGTATGTATTTATATATATATTTTATATCTTATTAATTTAATCTATTATATATACATCTATGTATATGTATATATACATATACATCTATGTAAATAGGTAAATGGGGGACAAGATGAGACAAATCTCTATCTTCCTGAGATAGAATTCTGAATAATTTATGTAAGGATTCCCCCTCCCTCAAATAGGCAAACTTAACTCTCCTCCTTCCCTCCTTTGGAGTGCGTTGAAACTAGTGATTATGGGGTATGGAGAAAGAGTAACTTTACAGCAGAGAAATCAACAAACACCATTCAGCCAAGTGGTCAATGTTAACATCTACGGGGACAATTCACATTGATAGTATGTGCCCTTGATGTGATTTCATGAGAATGGCACCCTGTCAACTCTCTAGTCTAAGAAATAAAACAACATAACCCCAGTCTAACAATGAGAAAAAAATCAGACAAACCCAAATAAAAGGCAGTCTACCAAGTAAGTCAGCACTCCTCAGAACTGTCAATATCATCAAAAACAAAGTTTGACAAATTCTGACAGACCAACAGAGGTCAAAAAGACATGATGTCTATATGCTTCCAACCTGTGACAAATGTGCCATAATAATGTAAAATCTTAACAGCAGGGGCAATTCAGCGATATACAGAACTCTTGGTACTGTGTGTGTAACACTTCTGAAAATCTAAAACTACTCTGAAACCTTAAAAAAATACCTTAGGTGGCATCTTGCCTGTGTTGGGTAAAAAATAATGAAAAAGAAGAACATAAATATTTTCAAACACATTAGAATTATGTTCTAAGATATTAAGATGTATATTAGAGGTAAGCATAACAAGTAGCAATTATTAAGTGCAAACTATATGTCGCAATGTGTGCCAAAAGCTTTGAATATTATGTTACTTATTTTCCACAAAAATACTATAGGTATTGTTACTTTTCTGATTTCCAAAATTGGGAAAATAAATATTAATTATATAACTCGATGAAAACCACACAAATACCAATTCATAGAAGGAGGATTTCAATCTGACATTGAGACTCTTGCCTATTGTGCTCTGAAGCTTCTGTTGTAGGAATGAGCTATATTCAAGATTAAATAATTTTACATCTAGCATTCACTGTAGGATATATTAGTGCTATTCAAGTTCCTCTGTCAATATGTTGCAGCTTTCATTTTTCCTTTCTGACTCAGTCATGGGTCTGGTGCTTCATCCATCTGATGAAATAATACCAGAGTCACATTTTAAAAAATGCACCTATGTCTTTGCACATGGCACACAAATATGTGCACACATACACACTCATGCATATACTACACACATACCCCATATGTGCCTGGTGGCTCAGTCAATGACACTGTAATAAACCATCATGAATATTTTCTTCAAAAATTACCAGTAAATCAGTTCACTCAGTCAATCTGACCTTAATATCCCTGTGATGCGGACACCAGCCCCATGCAGTGTCTGCATCATTATGGATGAAATGAGACATTCACACAGATTACCAAGTCCTGTGGAGGAAAAGGGACAGCATGACTTCTCTCGAGGGGAGCAAAAGCCCAGGCCCTTGCTGGGACCAGCCTTTATTGGGTTTCTCAGCACATCACTTGATGATCCTCATTTACTATGCACAGGTTGCTTTAGGTGATTACCTTTCACAGAAAACAAAGAAGAAGATGCTGGTAATCATATCACAGAAGAAGGATATTTGCAAATAAAAAGGCAAGAGTGGTTGAACCAGTTACGCTCATCCTTGGAAGGTTTAGCATGATTTTTAGGAAGTTACTTTGCAGTAAATGTTTGCAACAAATCCGGGTGAGGGAGTTCCCAGTAAAAAGCAAGACTCAAAGCGGCCTAGGCACATTTCAGGCCTGATTCCCCACTGGAGAACCTATCCATGGGCCTGGGTCCCGTGCATCTCCAAGTGGGAGCTGGGCCCACGCCACGCAGAACAGTCAGTCTCCTACATCCCTATTTACCTTTAGGGAGGGGACAAATGACAAATGTGAATAAGCTTTGCACTAGAAACTAAGCAGGAATATAATCCATTTTGAAAATCCATTAATACATTTATCTTTGCGGCTGTGTCCACACCAAGCAATAATGGAGTCCCTTCCAAAAAGTTTTCCTACAATAAACAAATGAGCATTATGAGGATCATTTTACCTCAGTTATTGCTTCTATTCATTAGCATTTCTAGTAGCTTAAATTTATACAGCAAGTCGTAAACTTTTAAAGAGATAACATGGTCATTTTTCAAGATGTTGAAAAGGAAGCCTATATTGTCTGCTATGTAGTAGTATTAATCACTATCACACAGTTAGAGCAGTGAAGGTTCTTAAACTATTGATAAACCTGTACCAGTTTTACCAAGACAGTTTGAAAATGCTAGCTTAAAAATTATTTACAAAGATGTGAAGACATGTGTAGTATAGGAGTGAATAGCTCAGGCAGCCCATGAGTGAAGTGTTGTCCAGAGATCTGAGTGGTCCATCAAGTTTTCAAAGTTAGCTGGGGTCACTGCTGCCACTCAGCCCCGGCCTGCTGCACTGCTCGTTTCCGAGATCTGGACCTTCAGTTAAGGCAGAAAGAAGCTGGAAGGAAATAGGAGAAACCAGCATGATCCACATGAAATATTTAGCCTTTGAATAATGAAATGTGTACTTTCTTTTCTCAACATGCAGTATTCTTTTTGAATTTAAAATAAAACAGAATGCCACCATATAACTGAGATTGGGTGCTGGTAATCCTCACAAAAGAATAGAATCTGGTTTGTTGAATTATTACCCAAATAAGCATTTACTGTTAAAATTGTTATAATGGTACAATGGGTGAACAATTAAAATTGATGAATAATAGCAAATGATGTAAATCTATGTTACACCTGTACAATAAGTAGAGACTTAATAATATAGATCCTGTTTCAGCTTTTTGACTAATATAAAGCTCAAATTTTTATCATTACTGTATATACTGGCTTCCTAGTTAAAGCCAGGTATACATCTTTTAAATGTGTAATATACATCAAGTAAAAGACTTAATGTCTTTCAAAAATATGACATAAAATGTTTTGATCCTTATAAATGTATTTCCTTCAAATATCATGATTTAATTTCTTGCAGCAAAAGTTCATTTCCAGCATTCTGCAGAATTAATCAAACACCTAATAAAAGCTGGGGTGAATTATACTATGCAGGTAAGCCACTTTTTCAAAAGGATGTGTTTATGTTTTTCTACCTAGGTTTTTTGTTATGAGATTAAAACACAGCTTCAGTGCTGCTCCATCCTTTATGCTGGTATTTTTACTGTGTTTTTAGCTACCAAAGATTGCATTCTTCTTTTCTTAATCACACTGAGAATGTGGATCAGCTCATGCTTTACAATTGCATAATACTCTTTGCAATGTCTTTTTCTCCTTAGACTTTTATTCACATTACTGATATTTTTTTAAAAAAAGAACAATTCTCTATTTCTCTCCTAGTGCCTTTGTCTTTTTCTCATTTTCCATCACTCTTACACTAAAACGCGATGAAAAGCAGTTTGAGTAAATGTTATGAGAAAAAAGAAGAACTTAAAACACCTTTTATATCTGTGTCTTTAACCATATTTTGTAAATATTTGTTAAGGACTTACCTTAACAAAGTCTGAAGAAGGTATGAAAAAGGGAAAAAAATGATTTCTCAGCATAGGAAGAACTAAAAGTAGTTCAGCATATCTAAAACACAGGAAGCAGGGTTAGGATGGTGACAGATTAAGATGTGTAGATAAACAGATGGTGGGTCAGACTGAAACCAGAAAAGCCAGCATTCCTGCTGCATGTCACTACCAGACCCAATCAGCAGGGACAGGGATCGGATCTTTATGGGCACTTTATTCAGATGGCCGGCAGCATGAGAAGATGGGGGGGTTTGTACTCTAACAGACCTTTTTACTTTTCCTTTGAAGCCAGCTTTTATAAGAAGGAAAAGGTGTAGGTAATGGATTGGAATTCAAAGGGGGGGAAAGTGTTGGTAAGGGATTTGGAATTCAGGAAAGAGGCTAATCAGATAAAAGCTGCAATCTGGCATCCTTACATCCTTTCATCCTCTGACCGTTGATTTTCTATCTCATCTTGTGTCCTGGAAGATTTTCTTTATCTGTGTCTTAAGCAGTGCAATGTCTCCCTGGAACACAATAGCTCAGATACCATCTTGATTGCTTATGGTTCTTGGTGGTCTCCTGGACTCAGGGTGGGCTGCACCTTCGGTTCTGAGACAATAGCTTTTTACATGTATTAACTACCAAACTTATTGACTATTACTTAAAATGAAAAATTTCCAACTCTTGGGTTCCCATGTCAACACCATTAACAATCTGAGGGCTTAAAAACTTTATGTTAAAGAATTGATGTGACAGTATTGGTATTTATATTGTAGAAGTCACTAATGTCTTTTATATTGTCCAAATAAAAATGGCACTACATAAGACTGAATGGACAAATGGGACTTTATTTAAGACCCTTCCAATAAAAGAGAGAGGCTAAATTCAACATTGTTGAAACAAAGCCTTGTAAAACTTTTGAAGTTGGCTTGGAGGGATTCATAGTCCACCTGCCTTTAGTAATTGTCTTTACCAAAAGGTAACATAAACTTTCTTGTATCTTTATGACAAGAGGTAGTTTTACAACTTGGATCAAGGCTTTTTCCCTTTCACAGAGACTGGGAGATAGGGGTGCTGTCTCCTTCAATGTTTATGTATCAGAGAGATTGTTTCTAGCCCTTGGAACAACCCATTTCCTGGGTTGTAAAACTGGCAAAAGGCTGAAAGAAGATTTACATACATTTCAAAGGGACAGTGAATGAATTTACAGTCTTAGGTAAGGGATTGTAAAGGCACTAAGAAAAGGGAGGCCAGGGACTTAATGTTATGAAGAAACTGTCTAAAATTTTTTTCGCCACCAAATCTTAATTTAAATACATAAAAATTGTACTTTGTCTCAAATGTTCTTTATGAGTATAATAAACAGGGAAAGTTTAATATGAAAAACTCAAAATTGAATTAAGTGATATTTTCATTAGATATCATTTCCTGAAGTTCCTTTGCCATTAGGGGCTAAAAGAACGAATTCTGAGGGACAATACTAGCTTTTGGAACTTTAAATCTCCTTTCCCCTCAACATCGTAGGTCTATCCAGATGAAGGGCATAACATATCTGAGAAGAGCAAGTATCATCTCTACAGCACAATCCTCAGATTCTTCAGTGATTGTTTAAAGGAAGAAATATCTGTGATACCACAGGAACCAGAAGAGGATGAATAATGGACTCTATTTATATATAAATGAAGGGAATATTGAGGATCAATGAAGTCTAACCTAGAGACTGTAATATTGTAGATGCTCCAGAATTTCAAGGGCAGCTTACAGAGATGACACTGGAACAGCACACTCAGAGACGATAAACTAGAATTTGAATAAAGAAGTCCAAGTCTACTGTTTTTGCCAAGGGTGCAGAATCTGTTTCTTTGTGTAAGAAAGGTCAGAGGGTTGGTTTCTTGGGAGAAGTTAGTTTTGCATCGAAGTAGGTATAGTGCATGTTTTCTTCTGTTATCCCCTATTTGTTCTGTAACTAGTTAGTTGTTCTCATTTTAATTTCCATGTCCACCATCATCTTTGCGTATAATGCACAACTTATCAGCACTACGGGCCCTGATCTTTGATGGCTGAACTGCAGTCTAACACTTTCCTGTACCTGTACGATAAGTGCAAATCCTTCATTGTCTATTATTATGCTTAAGAAAATATTCAGTTAATAAAATCAGAGTATTTTATGTAATTTCTGTTTACAAAAAGACATTATTAAATGGGTCAAAGGTCATGTAGAAATATGGATTTTGGCACCTTCCGAAGTTCAGCTACTTATCATTAGATATGATATCTTTAAATCAACACATGAGTGTGCATCTCACAATATATATACACACTCAATAAATCTGTTTTCACATGTTATTACTGCTACAAAAGATAAACTTTTGCTGAATTAGAAGAAATGCTCTTTTACAGGCTACAATGGATGCTTTGTTTAATGAGCCAAATATGATGAAACATTTTTTTCCTATTCAAAATCTAGCTATTGCTTTCCTATAAATGTTTGGGTTGTGTTTGGTATTGTTTTTAGTGGTTAATAGTTTTCTAGTTGCAATTAAATTTTTTTGGATATGATACCTTGTCACATGTAAATTAGATACTTAAATATTAAATTATAGTTTCTGATAAAGAACTTTTGTTAACAATGCAATGCCACTGAGTGCTATTTTGCTCTTCTGGTGGAGAAGGCTTTTTTTAAAAACACTTGGTCCTTTTACTTCTCTCTGTCAATGCAAAATCAATTCTCATTTTCATTGTAAAAGCAAAGAGCTGGATCATTTCTTTTGCCAGTTCCTATTTAATATTCTGTGCCTGCCCAATTCACCTTTTACTGTTTAATTTAATACTCCTGGTGAGAATTAAAACTGAATTTTTTTTCATTTATAAGCCAAAAATTCACAAACAGCAATGTTTGCTCCTTAACTTGAGATTAAGGCACAAAATGCCTTAATCCCTATGCTGTGTTGATTTGCAGTAGTAAGTAAAATACTAAGTAACTGAGAGTGTAAAATAAACTTAACTGTATGAAATCAATTTAAGTTATGAAAACATTAAATTTGGTGATTAAAATCAGAGTATCTTCTCCCTTCATATAAGGGATTTTCAAGATGTCTAAAAGTCTGTAACAGTTCATATAAATCTAGGCAACATAGTATATATTAGTGGTTTTAAAAGTTCCTTAGGACAGGCTGGATAATCATGACATCAGAACACCAGGAGGAAATTTTAAAATGTTACAGAACTGCTCAGCATACCCTCCTATTTAGTCAAAGGATCAACCACCAAATCTGAGTATTTGAGAATGTATGACTCACTATGGGGACATTCTGTTATTCTGAATGCTTCGCAGTAGTGTCTTTACTGCTCCATTGAATTCAATTTCAAATGGGAAAGGCTCTCTTTTCTGAAAGATCCATTTTAGGTCTTTTTTCAAGAATAGTAAACACATTAAAAAATAAGTTGCAGTGTTTCAAAGGAAAGTTTTTCCTATTTTATTAAAACGGAGATTTCTTTTTAGGCTGATTTGAAGTCCAAGTGAAGCTTTTAAATCAACGTTTTTGAATTTCAACCACTAGAGATTTTTATGATGAAAATAATTATGTTGTCTGAAAGATGTGGTTTTATTGAATGTCTATTTGAGTGACATTTAAAACGTATTTACCTTTTACTGTTCATTATTTCTCTTGTCTTATTATTATCAATGTTTATCTATTTGTCAATTAATTTAATAGTTTATAACATGAAAGACATTTGTCTGGAAACCACTTTCACCTTCAAGGCCCAATGCAGTTCAAATGAACACATACTGTTTAGTAGGAAGGTGGAAAATTTTCATTTTCATAAACTCATGTTTTGAGTTTAATAATTGGTCCATTGTAAACACTGGTTTTTAGAGGAATAGTGTAAGTGGGACTTTCCTTTTATACATCTGCCTTTGATCATAATTTCACTATTTTATATGTATTTATGCATTGCAGTATTTTCCAGGAACCCAGTAGCAAGCTGTCCAAGTGATATTTCCCCCTTAAATTTTAAAAAAAATAAGCTAAACAATAAAAAAATAGGTTAGCTGTATTAAATCTTCCACAGAGATAAACACATAATTTTTTGAAACTATTTTGAAAGAGAACATTGTTTTTGTCACTAATTTCCTCCACTGAGGCCCCTGACAAAACACTTAGGGACTAAGAAGATGATGCTGATCTGTTTGTGTTTTCTGATATAAACGAGAGAAACGGTGCCCTTCAAAACCTGAATCTCAGCTCACCTTGAATGTGTCTTTTTTGATTGGATGTTTAGCCTAGACATCACTAGTGAGGGTCTTGTAGATTCTAATTATAGATCTAGGAGAATAAGGTGACTTAAATATTGGTCTTTACTATAAGAAGAATTACTTAAGTCATTGTCCTCAAACAGCGGATACCCAGGATTGATTTGCTCTCAAATCTCATTAAGGATGAATGGCTTCTAAAATCACGTATGAACTACTTCTTTTGTCCTTCCTCACCAGCTCTCCACATCCATGTTCTGCCGCATAAATAAAACCTGACTCCTCAGCTGTGCTTTACCTTTCACTTCCTGTCCTGGGGATCCTCTGACTTTATGTTGTCTGTCTGTTGGAACCAATAGACTCATCACATGCACAGTGCAAACCCATATGAGGATGCTAATATGCCCATTAAAATACAATTAATATAAGACAGGAGCGGAAGACTATATATTCCTTTTTTTTCCCTTCTCTCAGCCATTCTACATTGTCCTTGGGAGGCCCGTGAAACTCAGCTGCCCATACCTGCATACCCTCCTATTTCCCTGTTTTGCATTTTACTCTTCTCAGTGCCCCATTCCTATTGCCTAAAGTCATGTACCTAAACAAACTCCAAGTGTATCAGCTATTGACTTGGCTTTACTTTCTGGGGAAACTCTTTCTTCCCACAAAGCTGACCATTGTCAATATTATAGGATGAATAAATAAAATAAAGAAGTGCTTTCGTTCAGGTTCAAATAAGTTGTTTCCATCTAAAATTTATTATACTCTTACTAAGTACCAAACATGTGTATTAAATGCTCCACATTTATCATCAAATTAAAGTTTCTCAACATGCTCTAGGGATTACAAATCCCATTTTTAGATAATGAAATCGAATCCCAGATAAGTATGAAACTTGTTCATATTTACATAACTAGTGAGTGAATAGCCTAAAACCTAGCTCCAGCTAACTTAGAAGCCCATATTTTCAGCCATTCTCCTCCATAGTATTCCTTCAATACAGAGATTTTTAACCAATGTTCACCCCATATGAGAATAAATTCTAAATATGTAAACATATAGTTTCAGACACATTTGAGAATTATTTGGTAGCAGTAATACTAAAAGGTAAATGATAGCCCAATATATCACTGTAGGTACATGGAAGTTAACACGAATCTCCTAGTGTCAAGAGGACATATCTGCTGGACATATATATGTAAGAGCTCTTCCTATTCATGGGGACCTTTGCCCAGATGACCACAACTACCCTGCGTCTGGGAAGTCATTAGTCAAATCCCTTGCTCTGGTATTATGCCAAGGGCATTCCAAATCATTCCTAGGGGCATTCAAACCGTTGCATTTTCAAAGCACCCAGGCTTGTAAACACGAAAAGATCAACTAGGCTTCAAGCACTGCAAATCCAGAAAGCATGTTGAAATATTCAAATGCATGGCTGATGTCCACAATCCTATTTACTATCTGACTTAGAATTGAATTACCTCCTAGTTTTCCATCACTATAGGCAATAGATTTTTATTTACCTCTGATCACATCTACTAACAGCACTCATTTCATTTGGCAATATTTCAGCAATTTTTAAAAAGAGAGTCTGCAAATTCAAAAATATTTTTTTCTCATCAAGGGCAACCTAAGCAGGTTTTTTAAAAGAAATATCATACTAAAGCCCAATTTTGAATATTTATCAAACTTTCAATTAAATGTAAGATAATCTGATAGGAGCATTACAGGTTTATGATATAGTATGTTGATCACAAAGAAAGCTTGTGCTGATGACCACAACCTGTCCTATTATATCTGTTGCAAGTATATGTTTCACGATATAGTCTTTCCTATAAGACAGATTCTGGTTCCCATTCAGGTCATCTGATCTGGGCTGTAAGAACCGAAAGCACCGAGTTTGGTGACCATCTGTATGACCTCCAAGCCTACAGGTGACATTGGCACTGAGAAATAACACGGAGGCTACACAGGTTACTTTGTTACTCAGTTGCCTTTTATTAATGCAGATTTAATCCAAACCTATAACAACCTAATAGCAATAATAGTAACTTAGAAAAATCACTAATAACATCACACAAAAGAATTGGGGGATAACAAACCCAAGTACCAAAGTCTCAGTCTGCATGTCCAAGAGACAGCACAGTAGGCAGGGACTAATGGCATCTTATGAGGCAGAGTCTCTGGAGCCCAGAGCTCAGACAGCAACAGGGCAAAGGAAGTCCTTGGTCCACCAGAGTGGAGCCTCTGGTAGCACGACAGTCAGGACACCAGCATAGTGTGGAGCAACACATTCGTGTGTGGAGCTCAGCTGTCTAGGCAATGATCTGAAGTCTACCTCAGTTATACCCTTGAGGGTTGTATACTCCACCCTTCTGGGTCTCTTGATAAGTGTCTTGGGACC